TTTTCGGATACTACGCGACTTTATTTTTGTAACAAACTACATATTCTCGACGTTTCGGCTACTTTTCAGGAATTGTGAACACGGGCTGACGAGATCACGGTATAATCCGAAAATATTAGTTTCATTTAAATGAATAAAACTCGAAAAAAATCTTAGATCTCATTTTCTACATTAGTTTCATGCAGTCTTTGCTTGAATCAGTAAATCCTAAATTTTTTCAAACATCAAAGTAATAGTGTAAATGAAAACCCACCATATATTTCTATTGTATCGTTTTTAATTATATTACAAACAGTAAAAGGAAACAATGTTATTAATTGCTATTGATTTCGTCTGAACAACTAAGACGTCTTATAATTTATTGTTATTAAATTTAACTTTATGAACAGTCAATAATATATATATTTTTTGAATGGAATTAATTAATATTTCTACAATGGGACTGAAGAATCATTTGTTACGGGAATATTTGACTACTGATATTTTGGTCTTTGAGATTTTGATGAAAAAGTTATTTATTTATTAGAATTTATGCTTTTTTTGTTAGTGGTGGACAAACGAGGTGATATTCTACATCATTATATCTACTATAGAAGGTCTAAGATAAATAAACCAAATATACAAAATAGGGACCAAATTATAAGATTCATTTCATAGGAAAAAGGTATAAGCATTTCTGTAACTATCCATTATAGAAATAAAAAAGCTTCTGTGAGAAGGTGGTTTAGTCTTATGAAAACACTCTAGTCTAGTTTCCACAGACTAGAGTCTAGACTAGTCTACGATATTACTTTTTTGGAATCATAAAATTATTGACTTAAACTAAACATAATACATGTTGAGCTGAATATAATGATACTATAATATTTTATTAATCTAATTATTATATCTTCTAGTAAACAAAAATATATTAACTCAATTTCTATTTAATTTAAAACTTTTTCTCCAAGTTAGGTCATTTTTTTTAATAATCCATATGAATTGAAATGATTATTTTATTAAGAACTACTTAAACTACTTATAAATACAGTAATTCTTCTTCTTTGTATGGAGTAAACATGTTTAACTTTTTTCGTCTCAAGTCCATCATTTCAGTGCACGTCCCGAGTCCGAAGACAAATTATTCTTTCCCTATTTATTTATTATGTCTCCTTTAGATCTCATTGTTTTTTTGCGTCTCCTTATTTACCAACTTTATTTTCCTGTTCCTCAAGTATATTCGTTATGGTGTGAATATGAACCTAATTATAAATATGTTACTAGTTTTTGCCCGCGACTTCGTCCGCGTTAGTTTGGTCAAGAGTAATATATGTAGGTATAGCTGACCAGGCGAACTCTATTCCGTCTTAGAGGCCATAAATAATCAGGTTTTTCCTGTTTCAATCAAACAGAATGATTGACATATTAGTTAGTTGTCAAATCTAATGTCAAAATAAACGTTTGTATGGGAAATAGAAAAGGGCTGTTTTTAGGGTTTTTCCGGCAATTATTCCAATTTTTCTCACCTTTTAAACCTTCCCTGGACTTCCAGGAGTATTTCAAGACTAAAATTAGCCAAATCGGTTTAGCCGTTCTCGAGTTTTAGCGAGACTAAGGAACAGCAATCCATTTTTATATATATAGAAGATTATAATATATGCTAATTGTTTTTAATATGTTAGTATGTGAAAGTAACATATTACGATACTCTTGTAGATAATGCATGATTTTAATACTTTCTTTCATATAGATGTTGTGTTTAAGATTTTTATTGTATATAATACTAGTTTTTGCAAGTGATTTCGTCTGTGTTAGTTTCAGAATTAGAAATGTATAGCCAGGCGAACTCTATTCCTCCTTAAAGACAGTAGATGATAAGATTTTGGGTTTTATCAACTTATTTTGTTTCTTTTTTCAATCAGATGAAAAGTATTCCATGTCCTTTCTATGTTCTAATCTATCTCTTTACCAATTTTCATCCAAACCCGTACCGTTATTGCGTTATAAATATAGTAACTAACACGAATTTATTTTATACTAGCTTTCCGCCCGCAGCTTCATTCGCATGGAGTTCGGTTATATCGCGTTTCCAAGAGTACTTTTCAAAAGTCTGGGATAAAAACTATCCTATGTTGTTTCTCGAGGTCAACTCTATCTCTGTATCAAATTTCATTAAAATCAGTTCAGTGGTTTAGGCGTGAAAGCGTAACAGACAGAGTTACTTTCGCATTTATAATATCAGTAGGGATATATTTATATTATATATGTCGGAGAAGATGCCAAATCGTGGTTTTTAAAATGAGTGACGTCAGCATAACTGACGTCACCAGTGCGATTTGTTCTCGAATGTCGTCAGCCCTTGAGGCTATCGAAGGTAACCTCACAGCCCTCACAGCCGGTTGGATGATGTCTCACTTCCAAGAGGTTCGATCCCCGCGACGGCTCCAGCACGACTATCTGTAATCAGTAATCTCGCCTCTATTTATAATGACTAACAGCCATTGTTATGATTTCACTCGGACAGGCTGTTACGCGAACGACACCTGATAATTTATCTACCCTCAATTATTGATTATTTAAAATGGTAACTGCGCCGACAGAAATATTAAACTGTAACGAATAATCTTAGTTATTCAAATAATCACAACACATTACATTAGTTTTAGTAATAAATTATTAAAACATCCAATCTTTATATTGCCACTTAACAGTTTATAGAATACTGTAATTGATTAGCATTGATTACGATTTGATTACTAATTAAGTTCCCTTTTTACTAAAAGTTGCTAAATGAATAATCGTCACATATTACAAATCACCTTACGAATTAACTTTTACTATTCTTTAATACAAACCATACAATGATCTCTAGAACAAATAATTTTGTTAAAGAAATCACTAACGTAATGGCGTCAGTGATTTGTTTGTCATATTCACCCTCTAAAATAAAATACTTATGAAACAAATACCCCTTATAAGGATTTGGATTTTGTTGCGCCGACATATAACAAAGGTTTATAACAAAACAAACCCAAAGGGACCTCCTGTGGCAGGTGGTCGTTGTATTTCAAACTCGTCTTAAATATTCACTGTGGACCAACAAAGTTCCTTATAATTTTTTCTCCATCAAAAACTTCATTTGACTTATAGCGTAAGTAGGACGCCTGTTGTTGAATGTATATTTGAAAGATATGTAAAAGAATTAGTGGAGTGATAGAATGATTAAAGAAGAATTATAAAGAAATTAACAAAATAATATTAGAATATGAGTATAGTGCTTGATAAATTGTATATCGGCGCTACCAGCTTTAATAACGGATACGACTTGAAAATAATTTGAGGCTGTCATCAATTCTTATTAAACCTCATTAGTATTTATGATTATTGTTAAAAGTAAAACGAAATCAAAGGAGAATAGAACTATGTTTAAATTTTGTTATAAATATGACTAGTAATGGTCGCGATCTGGAAATTTTTGGACTTAGAAAATATTCAGCTGTAGAGCCGATGACGTCACGATGTCAAGGTCAGTCTACGTGATCAATGGCGTCATAAAAGGTTTATATTAAGGGCCCGCTGAGTGTTTAGCTCCAGTTCATGTGTATTCGTTACGTAGGTTAGGTCGTTGGCTCCTATGATACGGCCCTGACCTATATTATGTAGTTCAATAAAGGTGCATTTACATTGTGAACATCTTGTTTACTTCTAAGGTCCAATTATTGAATAAAGTAGACATAAAGGGTATAGTATACAGCTTTCTAAGTTTAGAATCAAAATGTTGAACAAATCTCATCTGTATGGCAACAAGTGAAGACCAAATTCTCGATTTATCAGGGTGACTAATAAACGTTAATATAGCTCGAGGAAAAAATCGTTTTAAATTTGCTAGCAAATATTGTTATTATTTAAACCGCACTCGGTTTTAAATGCGCTATCGGCAAAATTGGTAAATACCCAAGTTTTATTTGTGGTTCATAACAACAATAGTATAGGTACTGGAAATGACCAATCCGATAAGTGTTTGATAAACAGGAAAACAGTTTTTTTTTTGATGACGTAGTGGAAACTCTTTTTACGAGCCGTCCAACCGGCCTTGGTGGGGCCGGAAGGGATGTGTGAGGCTCGGCCTGGGCAGGCCCTTACTCACTAAAACCACTGCGAAAGCCATCGGCCGCTATGTCGGTGTACCCCGGATCTGTCAGCGACAGGGCACACCAGCGACTGGCCGGTCCTGGCAAAGACCGGACTTACTCCCTCGGAGAATGGGCGCGATCCCGGCAATTAGGACCGCCCCGACGACGCCGGACTTTCAATAGGGCCGGGTTACCACGCCGACCCCAGCCCGGAACACAGGGGTGCTATTGGAGGCGTAGGAATTGCCTCCGTCGCACCCCCGTACGTCGCCTGCGGGGGGAGGGAGCATCAGCCGCCCTCTCCCTTTCCCGCTGAGATGCCTCCTTCGTGGACATGACCGTCTCACAGAAGGAGGACACCGCCAACCAGGACCCATCACTCTCGAGCATCTTCTCCACGACACTCGAAAGCAGGAAAACAGTGGCCTATTCCCTGCTAATGAAAGGTATAACAATCTGTCGATAATAATTGATAGGTTGAACTGGTTTTATTACGAAGCATGTATTGCTACTTATAAATTCGTAACTACGAGTATCAACAGATTCCTTTTTGGACTTCATTATGTTTTAGTTAACAACATGCTTACTTGAAAATCAATTAGTATTGTTGGCATTAAGGTCTGAATTTTACGCAGTTAAAAATTTAAGAACAATATTTGTTCCAGGTATATTAATCCATTTACACACTCCCGACAATTTTATTCTGATAACATCGGATAACCCTGTAATTACCATGTTTACAGTACTTCTATCAATACCTATTGAAAGCTCTCATTTGATCAATTCTAAGAAACTATTGAAAAAAATAAACTCGTAAAAAATATTGATCGTATAAAAGCAAAAAAACTGCGGAGACAAGTACAGTTGAGTTTCAGCAGCTCTGACAAGATGTTCAGTAAAGTAGTTATCATTGCGTTGGTTGAGCTCATCGGAATCTCATGTAAGTAACAATTTTATTTATACAGGGTGACTGGTGAATTACTATCGATATTTGAGGACGTGATATTTGACGATCATATATGACAAAATAAAAATTAATATAACATAAATATTAATAAACTTCTAAGTAAAGTTAACCAAAAGTTATATAATTAATTACGCATCGCATGAACACCCTACAGATTAGGTATACACACACACACACATACGCGCGCGGCGGCGTGTTGTTGTATCAGCACGCCGCCACACGCGTCCACACTTGGAACACTTGGAACGTGTACACACTTTATTTATTTATACGGAAATTTGGTCAAAAATTAAGTGCCTATTTTTTTTACATAATTCGAATGAGAATCATGTACCGAGTATGCTCCTTAAATATTGATAGTAATTCACCAGTCACCCTGTATACACTGATAGAAAGATTTAGTTCTATTTAATAAGATTTAGTAATAGTTACTAAATGATTTAATAACAAACCTTTCATTACCAAATATTTAGTAGTACTTAGGTACTAAATCATTTATTAAAGCCCATTTAATTCTATCAAATAAATATTGAGTAGTATTTAATAAATGATTTATTGGTACCCAATAAATCGTTTATTAATATCAAAAAAATTATTTTTTTAACTAATTTTAACGTGTAACCTAACTTTTTAACTTAAAATAAATAAAAATAATTAAATAAATAATTTTAAGTGAAAACAGAAGGTATAATAAAAAAAATAATCTCATTAAATTATATTTTTTGGTTTGAGACATTTATAAAATTAAAAATTAAATAAGTTTTTAACATAACAATAATAAACAAATTAAAAAATGTAAACTAAACTTTACTGAGAAAACACGTAAATGAAAGACATTTATTAGAAGTATGTGTGTTTTTAAAAGTTAATAATCCCATAATAAAAAGGAGATGAAATTTATGTGTAACATTTTATTCGTCATGTGATTGGTCGAAAATAAATATTCTCATTCTGATTGATTAAAAGTGAATATAATATAGATAAACGACACATAAATATATCATGACAAGAAATATGAATAAAATAATCTACGTTAAAGCATAGCCATCTACCGACCATACTTGCCAACGAAATATTTAGTAACTGTTACTAAATATTATTTCGTATAACTAAATATTTATTTCTATGTAATAAAGCTTTGTTCATACAAACAAATCGTTTATTAAACTGTACTAAATATTATTAATGGGTACAAAATATTTGTTACTCCCAAATAAATGAATAAAAATTTTGTTACTAAATCAGTTTAGTACCTACTCCGTACTAAATCCTTCTAAGAATTTGGACCAATTCTTGATCTAAAATCTTTCTAAAGTATCTTGATCCCTACTGGTGCAAGGCTTTTATCAAATTGCTACTAGGGTAAATGAAAATTCCACTATCCGTGTATTTGGTGAAGAATTTAATGAAATCAAGGATTTAAAAAAAAAAATATTTTCATTTAATTCACTTGAATTATTGCCAAATAAAAAGTTTTTAATAATAGAAAATATCTTATTTAATTGCACTTTAATGGTCAGTATTTTTAACAACAAAAAATTATCGTTTAAAAAATTGTCAAATTAAAGTCAGTGTTATTTTTTATGTTTATTATAGCAGTGGCGGATTCTATCATTCTACCAAGTTATTATTTGTCCATCGGCGTTCGCTTCGAAATGGGAATTAATCGTAAGTAATTTTTGAATCCAACAGTTCTTCCTAAATCCAAACTCCAATCTTATTTTCAATTGATACTTTTTATAGATACCCCAAGAGATGATGTCTATCCTGAGTGTCATGATGGAAATTGTGAATGATCAAAATATATCGGATACAACAATGTATGCTACGGTCTTTTGGGTGCCAGTTGTCTTAATTCATTCAATTGTCTGTCAACCTCTTATGCATGTGTATCAGGCACTTGTCAAATGGTTGAATATAAGGAGGATGATAAAACTTTATCTTCAAAACCTGGAGGTTAGTATTTTCATGATTTAATTAATAATTTCAGAGTTGATTATATTCACAGTTTTATTATCAGAATTGAAAAGTCAAAATTTGATTATTATCCTTTTGTCAAATAAAAGTAGCTTCTTTCTAGTACACCTTTAATCTATTCGTATTTCTAACAGTTACAGCATTTTGGGTCAATTTTACATCTGATTTACAAATTAGTGAAGGATTTTTTGCTGGAAAGGATAGTACAATTGATGTATATGTCTGTCGTGGAGTTCACCAAGGTTTATTAATTCCCGGAAAATTATTAAAATTCCCTGGTATTGAAGACACCCGATGTGATGTAGCATATCTCGATAAAGAACCAAAGTTGTACCAATTCGAAGTAAGTATTTTATGATGTTAAAAGTTATCTGATTTGTTTTTAATTTCCCGCTAAGAAAATTGAAAATTTTCTCAAAAATCAGAAAGTTATTGGTTTTACTCCGTTTTTCAAAAATCGAGTTTTCATTAGATCTTGACGTTTCGAGGTCCTAGTAAGCTTCTCTGATGGTTTTCGCGGTGATTTCTGTATGTATGTATGTGCATACGTATGCATGTGACCCTCTTATAACTTTTGAACGGCTAGACTGATTTTATCGCGGTTGGTGTTATTCAAAAGGGCTTGGCCAAACTTAGATTTTGAATACAATTTGAACGGATTCGAATCAGTAGACTTTGTGAAATCTCTAAAAAAACTATAATTTTTTTTTTTTCCAAATGTGGTTTTTTTGAATTACTTTTAAATGGCTCTACCGATCAATTCCAAAATCTAATCAGCTCTTAAGATCAAAAAACCACGTCGATCACCGTAAACCCGGTCAAAATTGGATGATTTGTTCGTGAGTTATCGTTGTCGAAATAAAACCTAAAAAAGTGGTTTTTTTTTCGGAATCGCTTTGAATTTCTTAGTTTAATCAATCTCAACTTGAATATTCTTTATGGAGCTTCAAAAACTGCGCCAACTGTGTAAAAATCGGTTTATTCATTAAAAAGTTATTGCGGTTTGAAAATTCAAAAAATAGTGTTTTATTCAACAGCTATAAGAATTTTGAGCTCGTAGAGCTTAAAATGACACAAAAATCATACTTTTGAGCTCGAAAAGCTCAAAAACGTGATGTGTAATTTGAAAGCTTGAAAGTGCAAAATGAGCGGGAAGTTGTACGGATAGCCTTTAGGGTCAACTGTCGTCCTAATTTTTTTATGTTTATTTGATAACCTTATACTTTTTTACAGATGCTCCAAGGTTCACATCTAAAATGGACTAATTCTTCGCACACACTTGACAAAGCCATTTATGGAGGTGCTAACGCAGATAATCAACCATATCTTATTTGTCGCACTAAGTATCCGAACTCTTATGATCAGGTTATCGTTGGAAATCTTGTACCTCCGCTATACAATATTTGTGTCGCGCCTTACCCTAATGCGATATATTATAACGAAAAATTCGATATCTTAGTTCACGATTGATAACAATAGAAAATTTAATGAAACATATAACATTCAGAATAGTTAATCACAAAACTGACATATATTTCTGCTTAGTTAAGTTAAATTGTAATAGATAATGAGATTTCGCTTCATCAATTATCGCTAAATAAAAAGTTCTTAATAAATAACAATGTTTTATTTAATTGCACTTCAATGGTCATTATTTTGAACCATGAAAAATTGGATTTTTTTTAATAATTTTATAGCCATAAAATTATTATAAAAAAATTTGATCAAAGAATTTTATACAAGGAGAAAAAAATATCGTTAGAATACAGATCCTCACGTTAACAAAACAGTTGTCTGTTTTGACGAAACGACATATATATTTATAAGAGCTATCCTAAATCTGAATCCTAAAGGAATCCTTAAATCGATAATTCGGATCGTTATTTTAAGAAAATGTCATTTGAAGATACGTTAAATAGTCATTTTAACAATATTTTTTTTTGAAAAAAATTTAGGAAAACGTATGACCCTGAAGATCATCCCGGAAACTTCCTGCTAATTCTATACCTAAGCGTTTAAAATTGCACTTATGACGCTTTTGAGCTGATAACTGATGGAGTCAAGTTATCTTTCAGCTAATAGGATTTTGTAAGTATAGTTTATTTCTCCTCCGTCGAGGAGAAAAGTAGTATACTCACCTTGAGCAGGAAATAAGAAAGCCTTAGATCACATGTAACTGGCGGCCGAGGCGATTAATTTCTTAATTTTCTGTCCAGGTGAATAATACTAATACTAATATTTCTACTAAGGAATAAATTAAATTGAAGTCATTAATTGAGTTTAAAAAATATATATATTTTTGTTTGTTAAAATACATAACTTTTTACAGAATATGAATTAGAGTTTACACCAAATAAATTCATGAAAAACTTTCTTAAGAATTAATTACAATTTTCAAACATCTGACTTTTACATTCGATCATTACCTAATTACAAATATTTATATCACAAATACACAATGGAAAGTATTTAAATTTTTAATAAATTACAATGATCTATTTGTACAACTAAAAACGTATTAGGCTATAAACAGATTAAGGAAATTTAACATTGAGCAAAGCAAGACTTATAACTATAGTTATAATCAACATTATGTTATTCAAATAAAACTTGCGTGATATTTAACCCTTCGTAGGTAGTGTGATTTTTCCGAACAAAGTCGGTCGCACGGTGAGCGTTGCGCCGCCGTGTTATTTAAATGGGGACACTAGCGCCTCATGGTCATCGCGGAATTTAGAGAACTATGAATTTAGAAAACTTGCCGCCCGTGTTAAAAAATAATTTTTTTTTATGTTGTCAGAACATTTTATTGAACTTTTTTTGCATTAAGACCTTTAGGAAGGTTCAAAGAAAGAACAGAATTTTTTTCAAAGACTTCTTCAAAAATTTTTTTAAGAAAAAATTACGAAATGTAAAAAAGGCGGCGCCGCGCTCATTACGCGACCTACGAAAGGTTAAAGGAAGTAAGCATTGATCGTAAAGTTTACTGATGTCATACTTTGGTTTCCAGTATTTGAGGACAAAAATAGTAAATTGATAACAATTATTAATTATAAATTTAACGTTAGTCAGAAGTTGAATTAATTGTATTGGAAGCGACTCAAAATAATCATGAGAGTTACATACAAGCTAGCATTATGCTTTACTCATATCGGTTACCAATTTGAACGGTTTTTGATCCAAAAACTATTGAACCAGCTACTGTTTTATTACGAATAATATAGCCATTGTTGTTAGTGAGTGATCCGTAGATTGTTTGAGAAGTCTTGCCTCTGGATTGTTGATTTGAATTTGGTTTAGGTATGATATTCTGAAAAATATCCCTGAACGATCCCATACCATCGAGGAAAGCACCTACCCCAGGCACCCTCCCAGACCTTGCGTATGCAAGCCCTGTTGAGTAACCATTCGGAAACACTGTAAAAAAAAAGGTTGTATTAATAATCATTTCTCGCTGATACTGTCTAATATGTCAGACCCTGAATCGACTACTTGGTAGAATACCTTCGGGCCAATAATCTTTCGAATCTGTTTTTACTCGATTGGTTGCAAAATGTACACAAAAATTGTAATATCACTGGAGTAAATGATTTTTATACTAGAAAATTTTAAAGTAAGTAAGAAGTTGTAGGGATAGCCTTTAGGGTCAACTGTCGTCCTAATTTTTTTATGTTTATTTGATAACCTTATACTTTTTTACAGATGCTCCAAGGTTCACTTCTAAAATGGACTAATTCTTCGCACACACTTGACAAAGCCATTTATGGAGGTGCTAACGCAGATAATCAACCATATCTTATTTGTCGCACTAAGTATCCGAACTGTTATGATCAAATTATCGTTGGAAATCTTGTACCTCCGCTATACAATATTTGTGTCGCGCCTTACCGTAATGTGACATATTATAACGAAAAATTCGATATCTTAGTTCACGATTGATAACAATAGAAAATTTAATGAAACATATAACATTCAGAATAGTTAATCACAAGACTGACATATATTTCTGCTTAGTTAAGTTAAATTGTAATAGATAATGAGATTTCCCTTCATCAATTATCGCTAAATAAAAAGTTCTTAATAAATAACAATGTTTTATTTCATTGCACTTCAATGGTCATTATTTTAAACCATGAAAAATTGGAATTTTTTTAATAATTTTATAGCCATAAAATTATTAAAAAAAAATTTGATCAAAACAATTTTATACAAGGAGAAAAAAAATATCGTTAGAATGAGGACACGTTTCGTTAATCTGACTATACGCCGTATAGTCATTTTTTTTAGAGATACGCTGTATAGCCAATTCAGTTATACAGCGGATCCTCACGTTAACAAAACAGTTGTCTGTTTTGACGAAACGACATATATGTATATTTATAAGAGCTATCCTAAATCTGAATCCTAAAGGAATCCTTAAATCGGTGATTCGGATCGTTATTTTAAGAAAATGTCATTTGAAGATACGTTAAATAGTCATTTTAACAATATTTTTTTTTTAAAAAAATTAGGAAAACGTATGACCCTGAAGATCATCCCGGAAACTTCCTGCTAATTCTATACCTAAGCGTTTAAAATTGCACTTATGACGCTTTTGAGCTGATAACTGATTGACTCAAGTTATCTTTCAGCTAATAGGATTTTGTAAGTATAGTTTATTTTTCTCCCCTCTGGAAGGAAGGTGACAACTTTCGTTTCGCTGTATTAAACCAAGTTGCTGCTTTCCTCCTCCGTCGAGGAGAAAAGTAGTATACTCACCTTGAGCAGGAAATAAGAAAGCCTTAGATCACATGTAATTGGCGGCCAAGGCGATTAATTTCTTAATTTTTAAAAGGAAAAAATTAAATAGAAGTCATTAATTGAGTTTAAAAAAATATATATTTTTGTTCGTTAAAATACATAACTTTTTACACAATATGAATTAGAGTTTACACCAAATAAATTCATGAAAAACTTTCTTAAGAATTAATTACAATTTTCAAACATCTGACTTTTACATTCGATCATTACCTAATTACAAATATTTATATAACAAATACACAATGGAAAGTATTTAAATTTTTGATAAATTACAATTATCTATTTGTACAACTAAAAACGTATTAGGCTATAAACAGATTAAGAAAAATTAACATTGAGCAGAGCAAGACTTATCACTATGGTTATAATCAACATTATGTTATTCAAATAAAACTTGCGTGATATTTAACCCTTCGTAGGTAGCGTGATTTTTCCGAACAAAGTCGGTCGCACGGTGAGCGTTACGACAGTTAGCGGCACGGCGCCGCCCGTGTTAAAAAATATTTTTTTTTATGTTGTCAGAACATTTTATTGAACTTTTTTTGCATTAAGACCTTTAGGAAGGTTCAAAGAAAGAACTTAATTTTTTTCAAAGACTTCTTCAAAAATTTTTTTAAGAAAAAATTACGAAATGTAAAAAAGGCGGCGCCGCGCTCATTACGCGACCTACGAAAGGTTAAAGGAAGTAAGCATTGATCGTAAAGTTTACTGATGTCATACTTTGGTTTCCAGTATTTGAGGACAAAAACAGTAAATTGATAACAATTATTAATTATAAATTTAACGTTAGTCAGATGTTGAATTAATTGTATTGTGAGCGACTCAAAATAATCATGAGACTTACAAGCTAGTATTATGCTTTACTCATATCGGTTACCAATTTGAACGGTTTTTGATCCAAAAACTATTGAACCAGCTACTGTTTTATTACGAATAATATAGCCATTGTTGTTAGTGAGTGATCCGTAGATTCTTTTAGAAGTCTTGCGTCTGGATTGTTGATTTGAATTTGGATTAGGTATGATATTCTGAAAAATATCCCTGACCGATCCCATACCATCGAGGAAAGCACCTACCCCACGCATCCTCCCAGACCTTGCGTATGCAAGCCCTGTTGAGTAACCATTCGGAAACACTGTAAAAAAAAGGTTGTATTAATAATCATTTCTCGCTGATACTGTCTAATATGTCAGACCCTGAATCGACTACTTGGTAGAATACCTTCGGGCCAATAATCTTTCGAATCTGTTTTTACTCGATTGGTTGCAAAATGTACACAAAAATTGTAATATCACTGGAGTAAATGATTTTTATACTAGAAAATTTTAAAGTACAAATATTTGATAATATTAGAACTTACCTGACGTGCCGATGATGAGAAAAAATAAGAAGATTGAAGTCTTGGTGTGAACCATGGTTGTCAGTTTTTAAAAGTGATTAAGCGACTATAGATGATAGCTCTATCACTGCTCGAACCTAAGTGTGAGTCGTTGAATTCCGTCGTTGATTAAATAAATTAGAAGTGACATATATTGAATATTCAACCAATCAGAAGTTATAATTAATTATCAGTAACGTTTGAAATATCAAACATACTAATAACCGTTTATTACACTTCATTTTTTATTAAAAAATACACTAAGCAAATTACATATATAAGCTTATTATTTGTCACTCACAAACGACCTCTTCGTACGTTATACTAAGCGTAATAAAGCTCCTGTGACACCATACCGCTTCATATAGACTTTATTATCAGTTTTCGGTTATTCGTCATATGCTCAACTTGACATTTTCCTCCAGAAATCCATCTATACAAGTCAAAAGTAATAAAATACGATAAAATCTTACATTGAAACATCTATTATTTATCAACTTTTAGAATTAAAAATCCGACCGAGAATATCCATATCAAGTAATAACCGGTCGATAATAATTAGTGAAGCTGGAAGAAATTCCAAACCAAAAAATCCAAAGTCTCAAGTCTCAGGGTAAGTAATTTTGAAACATCAAATATTTTTAGATTTTAATAATAAAACCGTGACGACAGGAGATTTTTCTATAATATATTGCTTTCTTGTTCATTTGCAGATTAGGCCATGATACTAGAAGAACTAGCCCAGGGCGATCTAATTCTGGTAGAGTAAGTCCTACTCGAACCAATTTCGGAGGAAATCCAGTTTGGGTTGCATCACACCCAAATAGAACTCCAGTCCAACCCACACCAGTTCGATCTTCACTTTGGGCCAACTCTCAACCTCGTGCTATATTTCCCGTGAATAGACCTCAAACTTCTAGTGCTACATCTTGGTTCAGATTTAGAACTCCAGGACCTTCTTCTACAGCTCTAGATACAAATGAAAATGAAATCTTTAAAAGGAGCGAGCTCGAATGTGTGCAGACAATTGGTTACAACATCTACATAAGAAGCACTATTAACACACACATACACACATAACATTTGTTATTACCCTTGACCTAATCTCGTGTCCATGGTGTATTCTCAAGAGAACCATGAGATTCTGTAGGGAAGCCTTGTGGAGCCGTGAGGAGACAAGTATTACACCATAGATCTGGAGAGCGTGGCCTCTGAGCTAATCACGAGTTACCCTTGAGCTAACCACGGGTCCTTGATGTATCCGAAAGAGAACCAAGTGATTACGTAGGGATGCCTTGTGGAACCGTGATAAGACAAGTAAACGTCACAGATGTGGAGAGCGTACCTCTGAGCTAATCACGTGTTACCCTTGAGCTGACCACAGGTCCTTGCTGTATCCTTGAGAATACCATGCGATGACGAAAAGCGGCCTTGGGAAACTATGAGTAAATATGAAATCACTTAATCTATAAGAACTTACATGATTTTGATATCAAACAGCCGGCGCCACGGTTTTATTTAGAATCGACTGTAGAAGGTGAAGGTTAATCGACTGTGAAGGGAATACATTGTCGGTCAACACACACAACAGTGCCACTAAAAAACGATGTTAGAATTTAAATGATAGCATAATTGACTCCAAATTTCTAATCAAATACACCTATTGCGAGTACAGCTAAGTTTTGTTCCATTTTAGCTAACCGTGGTCAAACGTTTGAATCATGTTGTCGACGGGAAAAGGATATCACGCCGAATTTAAATTTAATATCAACTGGTAAATTTAATCTTAATAAAATGCATGATTTCAGGGGTGCGTTATACAAGAATCAATGGCAAATAACATCTCCGGGAATAGAAAACAAATCAGTCAACTATTTGCGAGGATTGAGGCCGGGCTCTATTATTCCTATAAATAGTTTTATGTGATTACAGGCATCAGCGTACATCTGACAAATTTAGTATCCTTGCCGATGCTATGAACATACGAATTCAATCCGGCTTTAACAGTTTAGATTACAATTTGACAATCCGTCCGTGGATATCGAAGCAACACATTTAAAACAGGATGGTCGAGGCGGAGAAAAGATAAAAAATTGGATTTTAGAGATTTCGAGCTAAAATTTAAATAATTTCAGAATGGAGATTTAATATAAAAACAAATATCACAGAAAAAGTAATAGAAACCGAGGAACACTTTAAAATGTGGTTCGTGACCAGCCAGACGAAGTTTCACTGGAGTGACGAGAGAGTATAAGTAAACGAGCAGCAAGGTGGACTGTTCGACTACCGAATAGTTATCCGGTGAGCGTATTTCATTTTGTTCAATTTACTTCATTTCAAACGCATTACATATTTCGTAGATAGAAGTGTGATTTTGAAACACTTACTTTGAGATATATTACTATAAAAAATGCCTTTGATGGCGGATCCGAACCATAACAAAATAATAATAATAATAATATTAATAATAAAAAAATGGTTACTAAAATAAAATTGTTGTAGACGGGTGGAGACGTCTTACGACAAATAAATAAAAATAAAAAATGTTGTAGGCGGGCGGAGACGTCCTATGACAAATATGTTATGAATGTTCGTGTGATGCCCCAAAGCCATAGTAGCTTAGATAATTGGACGTGATATTATGACCATCTCAAAGTTGTGTCGTAGTAAACAACGTCACCCATACGATCAAAACAAATTTGATATTCATAATTGTAACAATATAAAGTTATCTAGGGTTACTGTGGAAGTACCTAGACTA